TAATTTTTTTTATCTAGGTAAGATGTGTCTTTGCTCACACCTTTATCAGATACACATTTGTATTTGATTTAGACGTGCAAAAGACACTTCTAGTCTGTACAAAAATTGTCCCTGGCCATTTTGTGTGTGTGAGCTAACGACAAATTAAAAACCTATCAGAGGAAGAACATTCAATCCTACCAAAATCAATATTATTATTGTTTTTTTTTTTTGCGGGGGGCTGGGGTCGCGTGGGGTCGCGAAAAAAAATAGGCCCTTTTTGGGGTCGCGACTGACTGTTAGTCTAACAGTTCGTCAGTTCCACTCAGTAACAAAAATGTACTGCGTCAAGCTGTACCCTTGCTGAGTCACGCTAAGTTCCTCAATTTCAGCCAGCGTCAGGTCCGCGCAGTACTACATCAGTTACCCGATCAGTTACTATCAGTTACCTCAGGAGATGGTCAGCGTGACGCAGCTGACGTTCAGTCTTATTTCACTTACTAGTTCAGTTACTCTCAGTTTTGTCAGTATTTCTACACGTGAGCGTAAATATGTCAGTCCCAGGTTGGCTTCGAGTTTGGTAAAGTCAATTGAAAGTCAGTTTGATCAGCTTCGGAACAGCTTAAAGTAGTTTAGTTCAGTTAACGTCAGCTCCAAGCAGCTGTACATCAGTAAAATATCAGTTAACGACAGCCTCGGATCAGCTCACTTTTTAACACGGGCTAACGCTATCTTACAGTCCAATGACCCAAGTTTACTAATAATAGACCGTTCGTGCTCGTACGTGCTCGTTTTCTCGAAAAAAATGTTCAAATTAGCCCAAATTTAGCCGTTTTTCTTTCATATATTCTTCTGTTACTTCAGAAATACACGTCGTATTGTCGTAATACTCGGGGTCTAGCGGTTTCAAAGCGTGTAATAAGTGGATACATATACGTAGATCTATCCCTTTAGCCTCAAGGTTAGAGTAGACCAAGAAAAACTTTTTATTAAAATGTTTAAGTTCACATTTCCCATCTCGTGCCAATCCATAAAAAACGCTCTCAAAAAAAATTTCAGCCAGATCGGACAATATTTGACCCTCCCGAAATCGGTTCAAAGTTATCATTAGTTTCTTATGGGGGCAATTCTAGAAAAATGCGGAAGTGAGGGTCAACTTTCAGATTTCATCTTAGCGACCAGCTTGGGACGGTTTCGGATAGCCAAAAGCCTGAATTTTTATGTTCTGCAAAGAAAGCGGCTTATTGTTGATGCCTTCGGTCTCTTTTTGAACTTTAAAACAGAGCGTCGGTACCAAGAAACAGTTAAGCATTTTTAGAGATGTCTGAAACGGGCATAGAAATGGCCTTTCCCGACGGAATTTTTGAGGTTTTGTTTTTGCATATTGTTCGGGACACACTCTTGAACATATCCCTGGAGCCGAAAAGCGGATCTTGGTCACTGGGGCCGAGTTATAACGCCTGAACTATTTTCGAAATAAGCGTGTCCGTGCGTAACGATTTTGATGATTTTTTAAAATTTGTGGTTTTGCCTTTGGGGTTAGAAATCTGCAAATTTAGGAGCAAAGCTATTTTTCCATG